ATTTAATATTATTGAATTTTTATTGATCAATATTATTTTATTCTTCAAACTAATGTATATAAAAAAGTTTTATAGTAATGAATAAAAATAATTAGATATCGTTAATCACAAGATTGCGTAAATTATCCATTATCTAATGATAAAAGTAATTTCATTTATTATCAAGAATATTGAGTTTTTAAGTAAAACAAAAGCAAAATTTCTTATGATTATTTAATATCTATAATATATTTGTTAATTTTTTTTATCATTTCAGTATAGTTAATAAGATAAAATTAAAATTGAAATTACTGAGAAATATATTATTTCATATAAAATTATATTCATAATGAGTAACATTCAAGTTTTAAAATTGGATGAGTAAGTATCACCAACAAATAGTAGCATATAAATTTTATCAATTATTGAACTTTATTTTAAATATTGATAAAATTTAAAAAGGATAATATCTAATAAATTAAATTTATTATTTTATTGCAATTAAAAAAATATGTTAGATTAAAAGTTGAATCACAATAAAAAGGTAGTAATTGCATTATCTTTTAATTAGTACTTTTTTTATATAGACTGCTATAAATTCATCTGCCCATTTTTAAAACAAAAACTTAAATGGAGAGTATATTCTTAACTTAAAATTTTTCATAGTAGATTGATTCAAGCACTTTTCTATCAAGATAATAACCAAAATTACATTTATAAAATTGAATACAAAATTAAAAGAAAATATGATGCTAATAGTAATTCAAATTTACTCATCTTTATTATATTGATTTCGAAATAAATCTATTAATATATATAAATAAATCAATTTTTAATAGAAATAGAAATTATTAAATAAAATATCATCTAAAATTCTCATGTAAAAAGTTTCTGAATAAAGTTTAAAAGAAGAATACCAAAAAAAAGTTGATTAATGCTTAGAGAGTTTGTAATAGGCAGTCGATGTATAAGTTTTAATGTATAAATCTAAATAGAAATCATTCAATAAGATTGTTGCTTAACTTGATCAACTACTTAATGATGAGACTCAGTTCTATAATGTAATACCAACCTAGTTAAAAGATGATTTACCAAAATTCAATTCTAGTAGATTACTGAAATTTTAAGATGATGATTTCCCAAAACAAATCTATTAAGAAGTTACTTTATTAATCAAGAGTAATATTTAAAATCAAGTTAAAGATAAGGAACAATACTATTAGATGGAAATTTAAAATAATCAAATTATGTGGGAACAGATAATCTAATAGAAGGATTATTAAATTTAATAACTTTAGAATACTTAAAGTACTTAAACTATTTAACAACCATCAACATCTTTATCTAATCAATCAAATCTTAAACCATTCACTTATTAATTAATCAAAGAAAATTCAATTAAATAAAATGAACATTGTTATGCTATTGCTATTAATAAGGATTGTTCAATGTTGGTAGCTGGATCTTAGAATTAAATTAAATATTTTGAATTTAAATAAGGAGTGTTAAAATAAGTTGAAATATTAAGTGAACATGAGAATAATGTAAGTACTTTGAATTTCATGAATAAATCAGATCAATTTATATCTGGAAGTGATGATAAATCAATTATAATATGGACAAGAAATCATAAAAATTCATGGATTTGTTAATAGAAATTAAAAGAGCATACAAGTTCCATCAGATGTTTAGTATTAAATAATAATGAAGATCTTATTGTATCTGGTGGTTTGGATAAAATGATTAGATTCTGGTAAAAGTAAGATGAATGGTTGTGCTATTAGACAATCACAGATCATACTGAACGAGTATTAGGATTAAGTCTTAGTGAATAATAAAATAGAGTGATATCTTGTGGATATGATAACCTTATATTAGTAATAGAACTATCAGAATAGAATAAATAATGGATGGTAATATAAAAGATTACAGTTGAATCTGGATATCGATTATGCTTTATAGATAATAATACATTCACATTCTATCCTTCTTGGTATGAGTGTATACATGTTTTTGAGATTAATAATGCTAATTAATAGTATATAAAGACAAAGGATATTCAAGTAAAAGGTGGTTCAGATGATTTTTTATTTCCTTCATAATATATTTAATCAAAATGTATCCTTGTAAATAAGAATGCTTAAGATGTGAGTTTAATAAGGAAGAAATAAAATGGTGAGTTTATAGTAGAGTAGTCTATTTAATTTGGAACTAGAGATATATATGGATGTATGACTGATGACGGACAATATTTGATCACATGGGATAAAAAGTCAAACGAATTTTAGATCAGACAATTTCTGGAATGATAAGTTTTAAATATTGGAACGAATCAATAATTATCAATTTAAGTTTAACATTTGGTTATTATTAAATGAATCATTCTTCAATGCCTTAAGAATTTGTAATAAATTTTTTAATTATCCTAAAGAAATAAATCATTATTCTAAACTCATAAATAGATTTCATTTTACATCCTAATTTCTTTTTTTATAAGTTAATAGGAGTTGAAGATGTAATCTCAATATTAAAAATGATATGTCAACTAACTAATCTGTATTACACAATAATTTTAAATGAGAAGTCTTTTATTTTTATTATCAATTACAAAAGTTCATATTAATCATCTAGAACCTGTATAAGGGGAATAAACAAAGCTGTTCTCAATATAGTAATATTTTTAATTGGATAAATAAAACATAAACTAGTAGATTTTTAAATCTTATAACCTAAATTTAATAAATAAAATAAGAAATTAATTTACTGTCACTTTTTAAAACAATAATGAAGGTTGGATATTTACCTCCTTAAGAAAGATACATTTTCTTGATTAATTAAACTATAAATAATTGAATATTTATATATTTGTAATTACTTTTTGAATGGATTGGCTAAATAAGTATATTAATAACTATATAATTATGAAAATACTCATTTTGTTAAAAATATTATAGCTCAAATAATGAGTATAAAAAGTTAAGTACAGTTTTTCTTTCATCCATCTATATTTAAAAAATGAAAAAAATGATCATATAAATTATTTTATAATGTTTTTTTGAAAAACTTAATTTTTGTATTTTAAATTAATTTACAGCTCAAAATAATAAATTTGATTTCCAAAATTCTTCAAATATCATTAATTACGATTATCTTAAATAAATTCAAATCTCATTTTGATATAATATTGTAATTAATAAAAATATACATCTATTTTCAAGTGTTCAATGATTTAATAAGAATAAATAAATAATTAGAAATAATAATTACTATTATTTTATGTAAATAATTAATATTAATTCATTTCATTTTTATCTCATAAGATGAGTATTTTCTACTTTTATCATCCCAAAATACTAAATATTAACCATCATTGGTTATTGTTCCAAATATAAATTCATTTTAAATATGTAATGATGCCATAATATTAAATGTACAATCTTTTAATTCTCTAATCAGGTAGATATGATGCTTATGTCTTATCAATAGTATATTTTTATTTTTATTATATATAATTGGAAAGTAGCAAAAATCTTCACATTTATTATTATTCTTATTTAATTAAATAGTTTTTTTTGAATTTTAGTTAAATATTCCATCTTATAATTCAAATATTAGAATATCATTTTCTTAATTTTGTGTTACCCAAAGTAATTATTAATTATTCATAAAATATACCTTATTTCCTATTTATGGAATTGATTACTTATATTTAAATTCCCATTTCTCTTATAATCCTTTTTCCCATATTATAAATTCAGTTAATCCACATGATGCCATAATAGTTTCAGATTAATTTAAACTTATTGAGTATATATAATTACTATTAGAATCTAAATGATAAAGGAAAGTTAGATCATTCTTAAGAAAATCGGGTTTCCATATTTTTATTGAATAATCATTTCCTCCAGAAATAAGTTGATTCTCTTATTTATTTAATATTAAACAATTAATATAACTATTGTGTTATTAGAATGGTTATGAATACTTCCATTCTTTATCGTTAATTTATTACCAACATATAATATTTGCATCATTAGATCCAGAAATAAAGTTATTACTCTATTGGCTATAAACAAAACAAGTAACATCTTTTAAATGCACTTGATATGATTGATTCAATTTAAATTTTCCTTTTTCAAAATTCCAAATAATTACTTTAGTTTCATCAGATGAAATCATTATTTATCCAGTTTTATCAAATACTATTGCATAACTCAAATGAAAATATTGATTTGAAACATCAATTAATTTAAGTTCAATTTATTAATCCATTATTTAGTATTATTCTAATTAATTCTATTGATTATCAAATTTTTTCACATCTGCTTATTACTTTTCTTATATTAAATTAACTTTTTCGATATCTTTTAATAATTCTTCACATTTTTGACATTCTTCAAACTATTTATATTAATTTAGTTTCGCATATATCTTTTAATTCCATGATTAATTAATTGAAATAATTTAATCAATTAAATATTTCTAATTGAATTCATCAAATTTATTTTATTTAATTATTTTTTCTAATTCATTAAAAAAACTATAAGTAACATTTTATTATCCTAATAATAATAACTATTTCCTCCATTCATCTGTATTTCCTATGAATTGATCTAATTATTAAACAACAATTGATTTTAATTAATGTAAATCTTTTTAAAGTTATTCAATCAATTTAATATTGATCATTATCACATTCTCAACTCATACCATCTTTTACATTTGATTTTCCTCAATTTCTTATAACACTTTCTTTAAGCTCATTACATGTGCTTTTGATTCTAAATTTTCCATACATTAATGGCATAATAGTTTATAATTCTCCTATAATTTTGGATCCAATCAAACCATAAAGATAGGGAGTTTATGATTGTAAGGACAAATAAGATCTTCTTCTTTTTCTAACATTCTTGATTAAATCATATATAATTATATTTTATTATTATTATTAAAGTAATTCTATTACAAGACATTGAGATAAGTATTCTTTTCTCAAATATTATTATTATTATTTAATTTGATATTATTTATGCTATAATGTAGTCTAAATAATTATGTATGCTAGAATGATAAATTATAAGGAATAATTGTAACAATATAATATAAATATCTCCTTATATTATTTTTATGCTAAAGTAAATCTTTCATCTAAAGAATTACAAATTATTTTAGGAATATATGATAAAATGAAATAGATAATTTGATTAGATTAAGGCATATATTGATATAAAATTAGGACATATAAATTATATGTAACAGAAATGATGCAAACATAAAATATTATTGAAAAGATTCCACTAAGAAATATAGGATTTGAGGAATATTTTAGTAAATGAAAATTAGAGAAAAATGTAAAAAATTATGTTTTTGGATATTTCAGAATTCTAATATAAATAAATTACAATATAATTGATAATAAAGATCTTTTAAAATATTGTAATAGAATTAGAATATGATTTTATATTATTATTAATTATGAATCAAAACAATGATGCTAAGATCAAATGTCCAAATCCAGAGCATTTAGATAATATAAAATTTGCATGCTTTAATGAATCTTGTAAAGCAGATAGATTATATTGTTTTTAATGTATTAAAAATGGAACCCATATTTCTCATCCTTAAAATTAATAAGAGTTACCTTTTTTATTTGAACATATTTAAAGAATTGAAAAGTAATGTGAGGATTTAATTAAAAATCTAAAAAAAATAATTAATGCTGCTCATCAATAATTTAATTGATTGATTGAAGGAATTAGATCTAAATATCAAAAATCAAAGCAAGAATTCCTTACTTTAAATTCTAAATAAATGAATTCTTTCTTTGCACAAAGTATTCAATTTAACTCATTTGAAAAAATAATTTAATTATAAACCTAACAATCTTTAAAGGATTTTTAAGATTCAATAGAAAAATCATTATCTGATTTAAAATTATCTGAACTAAATTATTATTATGCATTCAATTTAGATCTTAATAAATCACAAGAATTATATTCAAAAGGTAATAAATCTATAAAATTAGGCTATAAACTATATTGGGAGGATAAAAAATATGAAGAGGCGATTAAATTATTTGATTAATCATTAACTTTTAATTAAAAAACAAATCATCATTATGAGCCAAAGGTATGATTACGTTTTAATTTTCAGCTGAAAGTTTAAGGTTGCTTGGTTAATTCAAGGAAGCAATCATCTGGGCGGATAAAGCATTATAATTAGATCCAAAGCATTGTAATTCATTATATTGCAAAGGTATTTTTAATTCAATTTGTCAGCTGAGAGTTTAAGGTTGCTTAATGAATATAAGGATGCAATAATTTGGGCAGATAAAGCATTATAAATAGATCCAAAAGATTGTAATTCATTATAAGTCAAAGGTATGAATTTTGTTTATTTAAAGGTGACTCATTAAGATCCTTAAGAATGTTTCCATAAGCAATGTAATAGATTGATTAATCACTAAAAATCGATCCAAATCATTTTGCTTCATTATTGGCAAAAGGTTGATGATTCTTTATAATTTATAGGTGCTTGTTTACAAGATCAGTATTAATTTCAAGAAGCTGTAGGTTTTTATTAAAAAGCTTTAAAATTAAATTCAACTCATTAATATACGAAATCTAAGATGGGTATTATATATTAAATGTATTAAGATGAATGTGTTAAAGCTTTATATTTACTCAGATGAGTTTTAAAAGCTTTAAAAAAGATTGAAAAGTACAAAAAATAAAAAATATACATTAAAATTATACAAATAGCTTTGAATTTTTTCGTTTCTCAAGATTTACATCAAGAACTTATTTCAATAGTATCATTAATATTATAAAATTCTTTTTTTCTATTTCTTAAGG